GGCTCGTTGAGTCAACAGCCGAAAACGAACTCTTAACTTTTATGGATGCATTCTCTGGATATAATCAGATCATGATGAATCCCGAAGATGAAGAGAAAACATCCTTCATAACAGATAGAGGAATCTATTGTTACAAAGTTATGCCATTTGGTCTAAAAAATGCCGGTGCAACATACCAACGTTTAGTTAACAAAATGTTTTCAGAACATTTGGGCAAAACGATGGAAGTATATATTGATGATATGCTTGTAAAATCTCTTAAGAAATCCGAGCACATCACACATCACGCAGCATTTGGTCAGCTCAAAACTTATCTGACGCCGATTCTCTCAAAACCTGAATTAGATGAGAAACTTTATCTCTACATTTCAGTTTCTAACCATTTTGTAAGTGGGGTTTTAGTTCGAGAGGACCGAGGTGAGCAAAAGCCAATTTTCTACATAAGTAAATCTCTTACTAGTCCAGAAACGAGATATACCATGATGGAGAAATTAGCTTTAGCAGTGGTCGTATCTGCTAGAAAACTTAGACCTTATTTCCAATCTCATCCTATAGAAGTACTAACTTCCCATCCGCTTCGCTCAATTCTTCACGGGCCAAGTCAGTCCGGAAGGTTAGCAAAATGGGCAATCAAACTCAGTGAGTACGATATAGAATATAAAAGTCGAACTAGCGCAAAAGCACAAGTTCTGGCTGATTTTCTAACCGAACTACCATTAGATGATGAAATCTTTGTTGAAACGGACTCTACGTGGAAATTACATGTAGATGGATCTTCTTCTAAACAAGGATCCGAAATCGGCATTAGGCTCGAAACTCCGACAAAGGAAATAATCAAGGAGTCATTTCGGTTAATGTTTCCAGCTTCGAACAATGAAGCAGAATACGAAGCTCTCTTAGCAGGACTTCGGCTTGCTCTTGCGATTGGAGCAGAAAAAATAATAGCTTATTGCGATTCTCAGCTAGTTGTAAACCAGTTCGCTGGAGATTACGAAGCTAAGGCTCCTCGAATGGAAGCTTATCTTTCGGCTGTCAAAAAATTAGCCGGAAAATTCAAAGAATTCGAATTAGTTCGAATACCTAGAGGAGAAAACACTTCGCCAGACGCTTTAGCTGCCTTAGCTTCTACCTCAGATCCTGAACTCAAACGAGTTATCCCCGTTGAATGTATTTCCTCGCGAAGTATTTCGGTTGAAGAAACAGAAAACGATAACATTTCGGCGGCCGAATACATCGAAACTCCAAAACAAAGTTCCGGATATAGTTCACTTGTCATCACCAGATCACGAGTAAAATCTCAAGATGACGAACTTACTCCACCATTGGAACTTCCTAAAAGAAAGTCAAAAAGAAAGTTAAAGGATCAAGAGGTTCCCATTAAAGAACCATCTCGAACCGAACAGTCACTTACAGGTGATGTAGAGGTTCAGGAGACAATTGAAGATCCTGACATTCCTTCCGAACCAGAACCAAGGAAGTTTATACTCAAGGATAATACTTCCGCTAATGATTGGGGGGCTGACTGGAGGGTACCCATCAAAAATTTCATTCTTAATGGGGAACTACCATCTGACAAATGGCAAGATCGCAAATTAAGAATCATCAGCGCTAAGTATTGTATAAATAAAGAGTCATTATACAAGCGAGGCGTTAGTGATCGTTATCTTTTATGTATTTTCGGACCCGAAATTAAAATAGTGACAAGCGAGGTCCACAAAGGGCTTTGTGGTAGTCATTCTTCGGGGCGAGCAATGGCTTTCAAAATCAAACGATTAGGATATTTCTGGCCAACTATGATTTCAGACTGCATTGATTACGCCAAACGGTGTAAAAAGTGTCAGATGCACGCTCCTCTTATTCACCAGCCATCTGAAATTCTATCAAATATATCCGCTCCATACCCTTTCATGAGGTGGTCGATGGATATAATCGGTCGGATGCATCGTTTAACCCGAGGATTGAAGCTGAAGCTTATATAAGCACACAAGATTCCGTAGTAAAGACATTCTTGTGGAAACACATTATTTGTCGCTATGGAGTTCCCTATGAAATAGTAACGGACAATGGTCCTCAATTCATTTCAAATAATTTTGAAGATTTTTGTTCCGCTTGGGGGATAAAATTTAGCTACTCAACGCCGATGTATCCTCAAGGAAATGGACAAGCGAAAGCCTCCAATAAAACCATTCTCAGCAATCTTAAAAAATGCTTGAGTGCTCGAACAGGTGGATGGTATGACGAGCTGCAACCTGTGTTGTGGGCTTACCGAACAACCCCGAGGCGGGCAACGGGCGAAACTCCATTCTCACTAGTTTATGGGATGGAAACCGTAGTCCCGGCCGAGCTAAATGTCCCAGGTTTGCGCCGAAGCGAAGCTCCACTTAACGAAGAGTCGAATTCTAAATTATTAGAAGACGTTCTCGATACAATCGATGAAAGGCGAGACCAATCCCTTATTCGACTTTAGAATTATCAACAGTTGACCGCTCGATACTATAACTCAAAGTTGAAAAACAGACCTTTAAATGTAGGAGACTTTGTTTTAAGGTGAGTGTCCGATAATACAAAAGAAGGAGCTGGAAAACTCGGTATTAACTGGGAAGGCCCTTATCAAATCGCTGAAAAAATCTGAAACGGTGTAAACCGTTTACAAGACCTTGATGGAAATCCCGTTCAAAGGCCTTGGAACATAATCAACTTGAAAAAGTTCTATTGCTAAAGCAAACACATTCGAACTACGATTTGGCTTGATCCCATTCTGGATACGTAGGCAGCTCGCTAATCACGAGTCCAGCTATAACATAAAAATAAAAATATAATTCCAGTCATGGAATCCTGTTTTTATAAATTCGATATTCGAGCATGAATATAAAGATACGTTGCGAACAATGTATAAATAAATATTTCTTGCTAAGCTAAGACCGGATCTAGAAGGGTCTTGAATTACGGAACAACTCCGCTCCTTGACCAGCGAAGTCAACGATGCTCATAATGCAACCTGGCATGTTTCCGTACTCCTGAAGTCCTAGTTCGATCCAATCGGAAGGATGGGCTTCGAGGCGATGAAGCTCGCGAGATATATCGAGGCAACGCTTCTCTAGCTCAATTATCCGTTTTCTAATCTTTTTCTTCTCATCTTTGAGCTCATCATGCCGAGTGATAAGCTGAAGAAAATAAAACGCTACGTTTAGCAATAACAAAAAGAAGTTAATCACTAGGATGGAAAATACCTTATTGATAAACTCTTCAGCCTTAATACGATCTTGAGGCAACAATCTCTCGATTCGAACGATCGGAACCTGAATGCTAGTTCCCTTCTTCAATATTTGTGAATCTTTTGGTTCGCCGGACTCTCCTGCTCTTATAAGCTCGATGTCCGACGTCCTCGAAGGATCAACACTCATCACTTTGAACAAGTCTGAAGGATTCTCTGATGAGTTAACTCCCTTGAACAGTTTTGTAGAATTGTTGTTGAAATTCAATGACAGACTACACCCACTTTATACTCGAAAACTTATTCGATTGCATTTAAGAGGATTAATTGACGATTTCCCAAATCTGAAATTACGACTTCCATGGAAAATGTAATCGAGTTAATTACTAATTATATTTCCTAGATTAAAACGGATTAAATATGATGAATTAATCGGCGAATGTAAAAGTAAAAAGGGAATGTAATTAATATTGTTGGGCCTCTAGCCCAATAGTTTCTACATAATATAAAAAAAAAACTAAGAAGGAGGGGGGTTCGCAGGAGGAAATTTGTCTGATGGCGAACCATCTTTGCGTTCGTCGGGTTCGAGGCTCCTTTGGTAGATATCCCAATGCTTCTTCAGGAACCTAATGTGTTCTCGAAGACAGCCGGGACTGCGGGCGATAGAATCAAATCCCCTCCTCTCCCAGTTGTGAACGTCCGACTCCAAACGTCGGATCTTCCTTTCTGTCCTAGCAATCCGATCCTCAAGGATACGGCGTTTCGCTCCAAGACGTTGCCTTTCAGAGCAGAGGAAAACGTATTTTTCCGTGATCTGTAAATAACAGATACATTACGAATTTATTAAGTAAAACCTTGAAACTATTGGTACTAGGTTCAAACCTGCTCCATGAATTCATGGTACTCGATCTGTTCCTCCCGGGACATGGAAGGAAGAAAACAAGGAATAACCACCCCTTGTGGAGTGAACTCATCCCCCGACGGGAAAAGAGATTCACTTGAAGGGAATCGTGGTGAGTTAGGACCGGAAGGTTCGCCTTGGTGAGAAGTCATCTTTGATCTAAAAAAGAAGAATTACAAAGTTCTTTAAAAAAAAATCTATTGGAAAATTTCCAAAATCCAACTCTCCTTATATAGAAAAAATATGTAAGGGCACTCACTCGATTATTTATTGAAAAAGAAAGTTAAACGTCAATCTATTGATATGACTGTTATGACCTTTCGGTTCTCGTGTACATGCACAAATAAGACCTACGAAATATAGGTTATTCAAGTATCACTTAACAGCTAGTAGGCGAACTTAATTTCGAACTCGAAATTCAAAGACAATCAATAAATGGTATCGCACCTTTTTATCTCTTAGGGAAAACAAACAGTTCTCACTAGAGATTTCCCTAAACGAACACATTTGAAATATCGCAAAGTGTTCTTGTAAGCCGAGTTCTAATCTCGCAACCGAGAGACCGAGGAAAAATTCCAATGTTTTTTCTTTAAAAAAGGCAAGTAGGTCTGATCAGCCTATCTCTCCTATAATCCTGAACCACTTCGATTAGGAGGACTTTTGCAAACCCTCCAGGTAAAATCGATGGTTTCCACCAAGATTAAATATTTCTTCCTAAAGAAATTTTAATCGAAAACCTCCTTGGACAAATTATTCAAAACAGTAATAGAAGCCCCCTCGAGCAGAAAATTTGGAAAAGAAACAAACGGCCCCATGGCCAACAAAGCGAATTTCATGTCTTTAAATTAAAGGGACAATCCCCACATAAGGTGAATGCAATCACCATCATTCATTCACAGGCGAGCCGCCCTCTTCCCTTACTTGACTTGAGACAAGAGCACCCCCAACGTCATCGTCTTGAGTCACGAGAACCACTTCAGGGTTAAGCGAGCTAGCATCGAGAGGAGTCTCGTTCCTTGATTCAACATCGTCTCCCATAATCGAGGAGATGACAAGCCCCTGATCAGAGAGCCCCTGAGCTTGTCCCGAGGAGATTCTATCAACATTGGTTCCGAACTCATTAAAATGAGCGCGAGGAGAACCGGTTAACACCATCTCGTCCAAGGACGAACCAATGTTTTGTTCGGTCAATGGAGGGGAATTAGCGAATTCAAAAGCAAACTGCTACAAATTCAGATATGGCTGAGGAGCGGTATTTAGCTTAGCTACAGTCTCAGCTAGCTCAGCACCAACCGTCTCTTTCTCTTCAGCCAAATTGACTTTTCCGTCCTCTATCTCTTTGATCAAGTCGAGATTACTTTTCATTTCATCGCGTTCGGAGTTAAGCTTGTTCCAAGCTTTGTCTGCAGCGATAAATTCCTACACAGCAAGAAGAAACTTTTGCCCAGCTCCCTTAACCTCCTTCCGAGCATCATGAGATATTTTGCGAACATCGCGATCTTTCAGTTTGGAAAGAGACTCATTTTTGCGTTCGAGCTCCTCAGAAGCTGCTTTAACCTTGTTAAGCTCTGATCTCAGAAGCTCAATCTCGCCTTTTGCGAAGTTATGATCAGCAAGGGCAGTCTCTAGCTTTTGCTCTGTCTCAATCAAAGTCCTCCTTTTCTCCTCGCCGGATCTTTCGAGTCTCTCGATCTCTTCCTGGCGAGCCGAGTCAAGGCCAGTAGATTCCTGCACAAGCCGACTGGAAGATTGCAGTTTTTCAATCTCTCCTTCAGCGACATCAACTTTCTTGGAAACTTTAGCGAGCTCCTCTTCGTAAAAGTTCACAATGCCATTTACATCCAAAGTTGCCTAATAAAAGAAGTTTCATCGTTAAAAAAAATATATATGTTTTCTTTCAAAATCGGCTGTTTGAAGATGCAAACAGTCAAACCTGGGAAGAGTGAAATGAATGACTGATGTACATCTTCTTGATATCAGGCTTCCACCAATCAAAGGATGGAAGCTTCTTCCCAACACGGGTGTGGAAGCACCTAAACATATTCCCGATCTTCTCTTTATCTGGAATAAAGTTATTTGTGTGAGAATTGAGTTTTCTTTAAAAGAAAGGATCTATTAATCTCAAACAATAAAATGATAGTTAAAGGTTACCGGCTTGAGACGAAGCTCTGGCAACCAGTCCTGAGTTCAAAGATGATCGAACCCTAGAGGTATTGCCTCGGGGGCGCGTAAGGGGTAACATCCCTGAACCCAGCGGTTCCTTCAAAACAGTTCCCGAATCAGGGTTTGCATCCTGAGCTTCAGCAGGTTCAGGAATTGGAAGATTCGAAGGAGGGGCTCTGCCCTTCCTTGTGCTCTTGGGACGTCCCTGGGGCAGGGGTCCAAGTTCCTCAGCCTTCCTCTTCTTCATAAGAGAAGTGTCACTTGCAAGGCCTTCCTCCTCAACGGTGGCAGCGGCCATGTTGTCTGCTGCTAGGATGGAGGGAGAAGCATTGATCGCAGCAACCGCCATTGACTTTGAACCTTCAAGTGATCCATCGTCAACAAGGAGAGTTTTCCGATAGACTTTGTCGTCCTCGGTGGAAGTTGCATTTTTCTTGTTTTTCCCGATTAGGGAAATCTGATCTTTAACCTTTTTGTTTGCCTCTTTGATCTTTCTCCTGTCTCGGGCATTCAGACTCGAGAGATCAATCTCAGCAGGAGGAGGGTCGACGGGGCGAGTAAGTGTCATTCTGACAGAAAACCCGGCGCCGTGAATTCTTTCCAGAGTAAAAGAATTCCAATGAACTGGCCTCTCCAAGACGGCCTTGTAAAATTTGAGAAAATCGATGGATGGGACTGGTCGAATCTGAGGACCTGCGAGAAAACAAAAAAAAAATGTTGGAACACAGTTTGAAATAACAAAGGGAGCTTATTCAGTTAAGTCCCAATTTCTACCCAAATTCGATGACTAGTGAGTTCGAGGGAGTTCGGAAGAACTTTGAATAGAAAAATTATTTATGCGGAAAAAGAACCAAAACTTCCTCCAGGCGGTGTCCTTTAAAGGAAAGGAAGGCCATCAATGAGATTCCGATCCGCGTTTGGATAAAGGGTATAATACCCAGAAGTTTGGGATTCGCGAGCTTGCAAAAGTTCCAGGAGTTCGCAAAGTCCCAATGAGTAGCCCGCCTCCGCCGCAACAGTAAGGGTACACAAAAGATACCGGAGCATGTTGGGCGACATCTGGGAGAAAGCAATTTCTAGATGGTTGAGGTAGACGAGAAGCACCTCAGGATGGGGAAGGAATAAGCCGCACCCTTTGAAATAAATTTCATAGGCACAACAGTAACCTTCTCGCCCCGACTCTGGAGACTCGAAGGGCTCCGGGACTACCATCTCTACCTCAGGGGGGATGAGACATAGTCTACGAAGATTGTTGAGAGAATCGATAGTTGATTCACTCTGGGGGTGAAGATCAAACCCATCTCCGGTTTGAATCTGGGATTCGGACCCTTCACCCATGAGAGCTTCGAGATCGTCAGCCTCGTATTCGCAGAATTCGGAATAAAGGTTCGACATTTTACGAAAGGGATTTTTTACCAGAAAGAAAACAGTGACTTCCGTAATAGGAATGAAGGTTTTCTAGGTAGAGAAGATAAGATGGAAAAGTAATATTACCTCTTAGAACCCTAAAGTATGATGAAAGACCGCCTCGAGAATATTGGGAAGTGGGACAGTTTTCCCCGTGGTATTAATATAAAATTAAAAAATTAATGATGACGGTTGTCAGGGAAATCAAATCATCTGATTATCCGAGATCAGCGTAATAGCGAAAAACATGGAGTAATTCCGGAATATTAAAGATCTCGAGTCATTAATTACAGTTTACTTAAGTCTTCCAAGCCGAGCACTCAGCTCGCAAGACTTGGGGGGATAAATGTTGGGGTCGGATCCCACACATCTTCGGTAGGATCCACTTGGATCTGTCCACGTTATTATTACATAATAATCCTCTTGGATTTCTAGATGTTTCATTGCGAGAATCGAGCTAGACCTGTCGGAAGTTCGATTCAGTTTATTAAAGAGCTCGATCTTTACCAGTACAGAGTTCGCTCTTATTCAACATATAGTTCGCATAAAAGAAGGCCGAAGCGAGGAGAATATTGCTCGAGGTTCGCGGCAGCGTCAAGACGCAGGAGTTCGTAGTCAACAAGAAAGGATTCGGAAGATCCACGCGAAGCCCAAGATAGTTCAAATTCAAGCCGTTTCGGTCGAATTGTAACCTACATGATTAATGCGGATCAATGCAATTATGAACAGTAAATGACCGCATTGATCATGTTTTCTCAATAAAAACAACCCCAAACGAGTGTGTTTGGGGAGAGAGCAAGTTTTTCCTCTTACGATCAAGCAATAAAACATACTTTTTCTTTTACAATTTTGCAAGGCTTTTTACTATTTTATTCTTTCCAAGTTCTTTCGCTTTATTTAGTTTCTTGGTTACTTCCCTTTTCAATTCCATATTTTCATTTGTTAATTTTAGAGTTTTTCTCCAAAAAAATACTTAAAGACAATCGTGTGTGAATCCTACATCCACAGGCTCTGTGGCCTTACTAAAATCAATGGAGTAAGTGAAGATGGTTTCAAGCTTCGCTTGTTTCCATTCTCACTTGGAGACAAAGCCCATCTATGGGAAAAGACGCTACCCCAGGGTTCAATCACGACCTGGGATGACTGCAAAAAAGCCTTCTTGGCTAAATTCTTCTCCAACTCCAGAACAACAAGACTCCGGAATGAGATATCCGGATTCACTCAGAAGAATGCTGAAACCTTCTATGAAGCATGGGAGCGCTTCAAAGGCTATCAGACCAAATGCCCTCATTACGGCTTTGGAAAAGCTTCTCTTCTCAGCACACTCTACAGAGGCGTCCTTCCCAAGATAAGGATGCTGCTTGATACCGCTTCCAATGGGAACTTCCTCAACAAAGACGTTGGTGAAGGATGGGAGCTCGTTGAAAACTTAGCTCAGTCGGATGGCAACTACAACGAGGATTATGACAGAAGCATCCGCACCAGTCCTGACACTAATGACAAGCACCGCAAAGAGATGAAAGCTCTCAATGACAAATTAGACAAGCTCCTGCAAGTGCAACAGACGCATGTTCACTTCGTCTCTGAAGATGAACTATTCCAAGTCCAAGAGGGGGAGAATGATCAGTCTGCTGAAATCAGTTACATTCAGAACCAAGGTGGCTACAACAAGGGTTACAACAACTACAGACCAAACCCGAATCTGTCATACAGAAGCACCAACGTTGCCAACCCTCAAGACCAAGTTTATCCTTCTCAGCAGCAGCAACAACAACAACCCAAACCGTTTGTTCCATACAACCAAGGTTAAGGGTTCGTTCCAAAGCAGCAGTTCTAGGGAGGATATCAACAACAGCAACCACCACCTGGTTTCCCATCACAGCAATATCAAGCACCTTCGCCTCCAGATTCTGATATGAAGAACATGGTGTTGGGGTCGGATTCCATCCACCTAGGACCGAGCCAAACATAAAGTGTCCTGAGCAAGCGTGCACGCCAGCTCGGGAGATCCTCTCAAAACAGCTCGGAACAATCTCTCCACCAGCTCGGGTTCTACGCTGATCAGCTTGGACACTTTGCCATCCGGTTCGGGATTCTGTTAAACTAACTAGATACCCGAGCCCGATGTCCGAGCCCAATTTGATGACCGAGCCCCTCCTTGGTTCGAGCACCCGAGCTCGTTTGACGTCCGAGCGACCGAGCCTATCTATGGTTCGAGTACCTAAGCCATTTCCCTCGCGGATACCCGAGCCCGGTGAATATCTTGGTTTGGGAACGTCACATTGTCTCCCGGCCCGAGCACTAGGAAGTTTCCAAGATGCCCGATTCGAAGGATTTTGTGAGAAATGGGAAATTCGCCTCAGCAAGTCTACGCCTCGGTATCCTCAGGGAAACGGACAGGCGGAAGAAGCAAAAATAACGATTCTCGACGGAATAAAGAAGCGCCTCGACGCGAAGAAAGGCCGCTGGGCCGATGAATTGGAAGGAGTACTATGGTCGCACAGAACAACGCCGCGACGGGCCACGGGAGAAACACCTTTCGCCCTCGTCTACGGCACGGAGTGTGTGATTCCCACCAAAGCCGAGATCCCAGGAATAAGAAGACGTTTGCTCCCCGAGCAGGAAAATGCCAACACTCAGATGATGCTGGACGAATTAGACTTAATTGACGAAAGAAGAGATTCGGCTCTGGTCCGTATGCAGAACTACCAGAATGCTACAGCTCGGTACTACAATTCTCACGTGAAGCATCGCCGCTTCCACGAAGGAGATCTTGTGTTACGCAAAGTCTTCCAGAATACCGCCGAACAGAACGCAGGTAAGCTCGGCGCAAATTGGCAAGGACCTTACACGATCGCAAAGGTCATCCGTCCCGGCGTCTATGAGCTAGTCAACATGAACGGCAGAGCGGTACCTAGATCCTTGAACGCTATGCATCTAAGGAAATATTACCGCTAAATCCCTAAGGTACGCATGTACTTGAACTACGGGGTGACTTGATCCCTGAAAAGGGTACGTAGGCAGCTCGTCCTCGGACGAGTTCAGCAGCCCCCCCTAATTAAAAATGGGGGGGGGGGGAGTGGGTCCGTATACATATACTCCCACTAAAATTTATTAAATTTTGTTTACCCTTCGGGTTTTCAATTCAAATCCACCTCGACATCTTTCCCAAAACTCATCTCGGGAACTTTTACGGTCCTGTTATCGACCCACAAATCCGACAGTTCGTTTGGACGATGGCCACGTCCTCGGACAGAAAAAACTCATTGCACCACCTCGGTTACAGCGCGCTATATAAGATGAATGCGATGTGTGCATAAACTAGGTGAAATGCCCTTTATATCATCAAGTGAATAACCAATGGCTCTTCTATACTTTTTCAGTTCAGTTAACAGAAGATGCACTTGTTCATCAGTTAATGCATCATTCACAATGACAAGATATGTAGAGTTGTTACCTAGAAATGCATACCTGAGTCCTTTAGGAAGCGGCTTAAGTTCAACTTTTGGTGCCTTGAGTTCAGACCAGTCGTCTGATGTTGGAATGATCAGCTGCGCAGGGATGTCAACTGTAGTGGTCGAGTGTTCAGTCGAGTAAGTCCTCGAGTGAGCAGGTTGAGCCTGAGTTGAGTCCTCGTCATTCACTGCCATTACCTCTGTTGCTGACCCATTCAATTCCTCAAAGGATTCTGACTCTTCTACTGCTTTGTGTAAGTCCAACAGCTTCTGGTAACCCAAAGTTTCTAAATGCAGAAACCCTTCTTCACCATTCTTGGTCAAAGCACTCTTAAGGTGATCTTCTTCAGCTAGTTCCTCTAGTAACTCATCAGCTAACTGATCCATTTCTTCAATCCAAAAGAGTTTCCCTTCTATAGTTGGCTTCTTCATTGCATCCTTTATATCAAAGGTCATTTTAAGGTCTTTACCAAGGTTCAGATCGATCTTCCCCTTCTTGACATCAATGATAGCTCCAGCAGTCGCCAAGAAAGGTCTTCCCAGAATCAGAGGGTCCTTTGGTTCTTCATCCATTTCAAGCACTACAAAATCAGTAGGTATCTCTACGACTCCGATCTTGATTGGTAAGTCTTCAAGCAGGCCATGAGGTATTCTGATGGATCTGTCTGCTAGAATCAGAGAGATATTGCAAGCTTTGTATTTGTTGAAACCAAGTCTTTTCGCAACTGAGAGAGGCATGAGGCTCACTGATGCGCCTAGATCGTAGAGGCATCTGTTGAATGATAAAGGACCTAATGAACACGGTAGAGTGAATGAGCCAGGATCACCAAGCTTCTTTGGAATGATCTTCTTCTGTATAATAGCACTGCATTCATGACTCAATACTACCATTCCTTGCACTTCTTGAATTCTTTCCATGATCAGGTCTTTCAGAAACTTGTGGGAATCCGGAATAAGCGCGAGAGCATCAACAAGAGGTATTCTTAATTCAACTTCTTTGATGTTCTTGGCAAACATAGGTCTATACTTTTCTACCAATGCTTTCTTGTGTCGTCCAGGGAATGGAAGTGGGGGTTTATAAGGAGGAGGAACAAAAACCTTCTCCTTGTTCTTAGCAGCAACTTGTTTTAGAACAGTAGGTGATGTTACTGGAATTGGTGATCGAGTAACATGGTCGAGTGGAGGGTCGAGTACTTCTGTTGGCTTGTCAGCTTGATCTTCATTGAGATTGAAATCCTCCCCAGCTTGGTCGGCACTGTCCTCAGTGGCTGGCTTAGGTCTCTCTCTGGTTGGAAGTTCTTTACCACTGCGCAAGGTGATAGCATGAGCTTGAGCATAGTCTTTTGGATTCTGAATTGCTTTGCCTGGAAGTTGACCTATAGGTTTTGGAGCAGAAGTGGATGCAGATTGTCCTTCCAAGTATCGGACTTTGGAATTCAGTGCCTCCACTTTGATATTTAAGTCATTGTAGCTACAGTCCAGCTTATTGTGTAATTCAGATATCTTCTTAGCAATCTCCATGGAGCCAGATGC